CACACACACACCCCCCCCCCCCAAAAAAAAAAAAAACACATGATCTTATCATTAGGTTCAATTCAATTACTGCATTGTGATAATTCAGTGATTACTTACCTAATACATCATTTTTGTGTTTAGTTGGTTTGGTTAGTACTGGGATTTGAACTCAAGACCTGATATTTGTTAATTGGATGCTCTACCACTTAAGCCATCTCCAGCCCTTTTGGTTTTAGTTTTGTTTCAGATAGGATTTAATTCTTTCATCTCAATCCTACTGTCCAGTAGCTCGACCACAAGCTTACAAGACCATACCTAGCTTGTTTTTGTTGTTGTTTGAAATTTTTGCTCTTCCTAGTGTGTGTGGCGGGGGGCGGGTACTGTGACTGGAACTCAGGAACTAGTTACTGTCCCTCAGCTTTTTCAAACTGGTACTCTACTACTTGAACCACATCTTCACATCTGCATTTTCACTGGCTAATTGGAAATAAAACTCACAGACTTTTCTAGCCAGGCAGACTTTGAACCAATCTTTAGATTTCAGCCCACTGAGTAACTAGGGAATTACAGGCATGTGGGGGGGGGCTCACTACTGAGCTCAAGGGTCTCCTTAACTTTTTGCCACAGATGGCCTCAAACCTTCATGTAGTCATCTAAATACCATCCTGCATCTGGGATCAAAGCTGTGCACCATCATGTCTGACTACTTATTCTATACAGTGTTATTTTATTTTACCTTCAGGAGTACAATAGCCAGGTTGCTGTCCTATGTTCCAGACTCTTCTGATTATCTCCTAAGGCAAGCTATACAGACAGAAATGCCTGGGGAAAAGGGTATAATTTTACATTTTGAACTATAGTATCTAAATCCTTGAAGAAGAGCTAAAAGGATGAATAGCTTATGGTTTTGCCTTTTTCCTTAGAGCTTTCTGAGTGTTGGGTCTGATCTATCTTTGTGAAATTCTAGCATTTGTGCATTTACACCTATCCTAACCTGCTGTCTTCTTTTACTATTTACTCCAACCTGAAAGAGCTGTCCAGCTGTTGCCTGCAGTAATGTCACCTGCTGGCTGAAAGATCTTCACACGAAAGGAGAGTACTTCATCAATGTGACTACCAGAATTTGGAATAGGACTTTTGCTGCTGTGAGTATTCACTGTATCTATTGGGTTTTTCAACCACAAGGGAATGTGTGGCTTCACTGTTAAGTTCTTACCCTTTAATGAAATAGAATTTTAGTACCTAGCTAGGAGCCAGCGTTCACACCTGTAATCCTAGCTACTCAGAAGCCTAAGATCTGAGGACTGAGGTTGGAAGCCAGTCCAGATGGGAAAGTCTAAGAGATTCTTCTTATCTCCAATTAACCAGCAAAAATGAAAGCCAGAAGTAGAGCTGGTGGCTCAAATGGTAGAGTACCAGCCTTGAGCAGAAAAACCTAAGGGACAGTACACAGGCCCTGAGTTCAAGATCCAGTACACAGGCCCTGAGTTCAAGATCCAGTACACACACACACACACACACACACACACACACATTCTAGTACCCATGCCAGAGCAATTTTACTCTGGAAAATAGTGCTCATCAATGCTCACTTCCCCTGGCTTTGCCTCTGCATCATAGAAGGAGTTTATGGTCTGCTTTGCAGACTCCACACAGACACAGAGCAAGCTGAAAGATCTACAGGAAAAGTGTCAAGATTGCCTCTGTTGACCTTGGCTACAGAGAGCATCTGCTTGGTTTCCTTCCCCAAACCCCACATCCAGATCAACAAACACAGGTCTGTGTCTCTCATTCAGGAAACCCAGTAGAGAGCCACTCTTCCTCTATTACAGCAGGTAACCACTCGGCTCTCCTCTTTACCCTTCCTCTAATAAGAGAGCTCAGGAAGAACACAACTATAAGGTCATTTCACTTCCCATTGAAGTGAAAGTACCAAAAACGATGTCAATGTTTTCTTCTTTATGATAGTTTGGGTAGCTAGAATCTCCATCTGGCATGAAAAAATGTAAACATAGACTGACCTTCTCCAAACTGGCTGCTTGAGTGGCTGTTTACTCATCCCTTTTGCCAACCCTCAGACTGAGGTGACAAAGTATAAATTAGTCTGAAACCTCTTGGAAATGTATGGTTTTCCATGGATTTATTTTTCTAACAAATGAATCCATTCTGAAGGTGCTTATAACCAGTCTTCCCCCTAATTTTTTCATTGTCTCACGAAGTAACCATCATTCTTTACTAGGTACTTTTGTGTAGGATTAGAGAGCTTCCATCTTAGACTCTTTCTGGAGTCAAAATACAAACAATATTCTTAAATGAAGACATAATATCAAAAGGAAGTAGTAAAAGATGACAGGAAAATACAGCATCAGAGGAGTGGAGAAATGAAGCATTTGGTTGCTTTTTCACTTAGTTATAGTTGATTTCTTGTTAGTTGTATTTGCTTCAAAGCATCCAAGATCATTCAGTGTCCTGTATGATGTAATATGTGCTCTTAGCTACACCACCTTCCTGGTTACTGTAGTTTGGTGTGTAAGTTTTACCAATTGGCTCTTTGGATTTGAGGAGCAATGTTTTCATAGCAAACTTTGCCAACTGGGAAGGAACACTGACTTTTGCACATCAAATAGAATCGTACCAGCCCTATAAAAAACATTTGGGTTTCCCAGAGTTTTCTTAAAGGTACGTCATTTAACCAGAAAACTTTTGAACGTATCTTGTCAGTAATATTCAGCAGCCGCAGTTTTATTCCTCAGAGCAAACTACTGAGGTGTCTTGTTTATATATTTTTTTCAACATGATCATGAGAGCTAAACTGAGAAGCCACCTGAGCATTGTTATCGCATCCTACACATCTTCCTCCTTCATGAAAATCACCTGGTCCTCACAGTGGTTCAACAGCTAAGTGAATGTTCCTTAGACCACCTGGGAGACACAGTCTTGAATAAGGATCTTGTTTCCTGTATGGGCCACTGATGTGATGCTTTCTGGTGTTGCCCCTCTGTCAACCTCACACTTCAAGTAATTTCATTACAAAGTGATTGCTCAAGTTTCCAAACAGAGCGCAGCCTTAGACACCATTTATAAAGGAGAACCTTGCCAGATACTAGCTCTTCTAGGTGTGTGTAGTACATCTTCCTCTCCTAGCTAACCTTGTAGGAATATCATATGCCTGAAAGGCCTGCTTTAGAAGTGTAGCTATCTCAAATTCTTTCATCTATGGCCTATAGAGATTATAAAGCTTGCATTCACTTTGCTAATTAAAAAAAAATAAGTCATTATCAATACACTCAGTGTCCCATCCTCCCTCACCTCCACACAATTCAGAGGCCAGTGGTCAGGGTTAAGTTATGATGCAAGTTTTCATCTTGAGAAAATTAAGAATTACCAGAGCCTGAGCCAGTGGAAAAGAAATAAATTGCTCACTTTTTGGAAATATATTCTCTCTTCCTGGCTCTTACATAGACTTTAGCAAATTACTTCACAGAGTCTATTGGATCTTATACCCTAGAAACCAGAAAAACTGAGCCTTAGTAGCCAGTGCTTGTGAAAACAGTTCTAAAATCTGAGTGCTGTATTTTACTACAATGATCCAACACTGACAACAATGAAATACACACATCAATAATGTTTCCATTGAAAAATAGGTGTTTTTTCTAAAATTACATTGAAGAATGCACATAAACTTATTTCATAATAGGAGACTTGCTATTGACATCAGCATAACCCAAATTGTCCTTCCTACATGCCTATGCCACAGCTAGGATTATGTGAAAGAAGCAAGCAGATGAGGAAATATGAAAATATTCTTGATGTGATATAACATGCCCAAAGGCCAAGGTATTTGCTGCTGACATGCACAGTCAAGTTCAAGTGTACTTTGTTGTTGTTGGGGGAGATGGGGGGCTTGAACTATGGCCTGGGTGCTGTCCCTGATCCTCTTTGTGCTAGAAGCTAACACTGTACCACTTGAGCAACAGTGTCACCTCCAGTTTTTGAGTGGTTAACTGGAGAAAAAAGTCTCACAGGGACTTTTCTGCCTGGGCTGGCTTTGAACTGTGATCCTCAAATCTCAGCCTCCTGAGTAGCTAGGATTACAGGTGTAAACCACTGGTGCCCAGCTCAAGTGTACTTTTATTCCCTCTTTTTTTTAATGAGTCTGTATTGATGGTAAAAAAAAAAAAACATGAATGGCTTTCACTGACATATTCATACATGTATGTAATGTGCTTTTTATAACATATGTGCCCAGACAGAAATTTTCTTTTACATGTTGTTGGCGTTCCATTTCATTATATGACTCAGTTAGGTAAGCATATAAATATGCAATTTTCTCTTGGGTCTCCGGCTTCATTAAGCTTTTTGAAATCTTTCCAACTAAAAAATCTTCATTTTTGTTAAGCCCTTATTTTTCAACCATTTTCAAGTTTGGATCACCCAAAGAGATGTTTTCCCTGGGCAGGTCTGGATGTCATGTCCAGGGACTGGGTTAATTGGCGATGATAAGCTTCCCTCTGCATTTTTTAAACCTTGTCCATCAGCATCTGATGAACATACCTCCATGTCAAGCACTTGAAGATTCTGTAGTCTTCAGGATTGGCATTTGCTCTTGTCACATTCCACCAAGAAATAAGTAAATTATAAGCATGCCACATTTTCTGCAATGAATGTCTGCTGTTAAGATAAATTGTACTCTTTTTTTCCCCTATGATCCAGTCAACTTTCCAGGCAGTACAGCTGACTGCAGCTGCAGAAATCGACACAAATAATCCCCAGCTCTATGTGATTGAAGATAACATTGTCAAAGTGAGTGCATCCCCTCCCTCCCTAGGATGGGTGTTCTGTTTCCCAAATCATAGAATATTTGCTCTCTTAACCTACCTACATGTGGAAGTGTCCTTCCGAACCTCTGAGCAGCGAATGTTGATTCTGTGGAGCATGGGGCAGGGTGTTGGCTTCTCAGAAAGCTCAGTGATACACTCTCCCTCCTCCAGCTACCACCCCTCCCCCCATCCCCATCCTCCCAGGCTGGCAAAGTTGGCTTTCCTAGAAGTGGGGAGATCCAAAGAAAGGCATAACAAAACCAGCTCTGTCTCATTTGAGATGCCATAGTGACTCTTCTCTGTGCCTGAGCTACCACCATCAGCTCTCCCTTTCTCTCTGCCTGCCAAAATCTATCTGCACCACAGGTTGCAAAATAAGTCATGCTTATTCATATTGGAGTCTTTTTTAAAAAGAAGTGCATAAAAAAAAGGCATAAAAGTTTCCCTCCCCCCACCCCGCAGCTTTTTTTTCCCCCAAATAGTACTTCTTAGAACCAGACACTAACAATGTGTGACATGTCCATTCATGGTCATACATTATAAAGAACTATAAATGTCTCCCTTGATAATAAATGGTTCTTCAGAGAACTGTACTTTTACAGAAAACAAAAGCTCCCTGTTCTTAGGGCTGGCATAGACAACTTTACTTTGCACTGAAACTCTGGTTAGCACATGCCATTTTTAGATAGAGCAGGATTTCCATGCCCAGCTAATCTGCTGGCAGAGCCCCCAGCATTTTCCTCTCAGTGCTTTTGTTAAGAGCTGGAAGCAAGTTCATGACTCTGCCCCAGAGGCCAGCTGGGCAATTGGCCGCCAGCCACTGCTCTAGCTTACAGACTAGGTTGAAAAGCCAATGGCTCAATGAACTTTGGGCCTCTCTCAATGCCTGAAAGTACAGCTCACAGAACTGCCTTCCCATTTTATCCCAGGGAAAATGATCCCAAACAATAGAGGACCCTTTTCTGTCTCCAGTTTAGGAAGCTCAGTGAAAGTCCACACCCTGCCTTCAGGGGCAGGGCATGGAAAACCAGAAGCAGAGCCAGAGGAAATGGAAGACTTCAGATTCAGACAGCTGTAAACTTAGGCTAGGGAGAAAGTACTATAGATTTTTTTTAAGCTTACTTTAGAAAAATGCAGTGCTCAAACAACATGGAAAACTCCTGAAGTCATTTTTTTTTCAAAAAGCAATCTTAAAACATATTAATTGAAAGGTCAAAGTAATAATTTTCATGAACCTATTAGATTTTTCTTTTCCAGGTTTCCTCTAAATAGTGTTCATTTACTATATATCTGAAAATATGTTTTGAATCCAAACAATAGTTTTTGAGTTTATCAAATAATGTGTTGAATCCAAACAACAGATTGAAACATGCCTATAGAAAAAAATGATCATTTCTTTTCAGGGATTCATTGGCTCCTGGTCCATTTGAATATCTATTGCACAAAATTTTGTAGCTATGGGTCCAGAGAGATTCATAGATTCCAGATTAGGAAGCTCTTGAATACAGAGAAGAAGGTAGTATGAGTGCCAGTAAACAGTGAGCTACAGCAATTTATAGTAACTTTATTCATAGACATATGAAAAACTTTATTTTAGCCTTTGATGATTCAAATGAGGAGAAATAGCCATGAACTTCAGCTTCCTGTTTTTCCCAACTCAAAATGTATGACCAAAAGCAAAGCCTTTGCCATTGCAATTTAACATTAACTCAAGTAAATGAACTAGGTATCATTCCCTTCTTTTGTGCTAAAACATAGTCTTTGGGAATTTTTTGTAAAATAAATAGTTGAGAATATCTTTCCAATTAAAAAGGAGACAAGAGGACAAAAAGAGAAGAGAGAAAGAAGAAGAAGAGGATGAAGGAAGGAAAGAGGGAGGAAGAGGAAAAGGAAGAGCAGAGGATAAAGAACAGGAAGAGAAGAAAGGAGAAAAAAGGAGGAAGCAGGAAGAAGAAGAAGAAGGAGGAGGAGGAGGGAGGAGAGGAGGAGGAGGAGGAGGAGGGAGGAG